AAGTCTCACTGGGTAAACGATTACAATGAAATTTACGTCATAAAACATCTGAACAAGTCATCATTACTACCATTGGTATTATTATGAGTATTTAAATACACGATAAGATATTTGTCATTGTACTATCATCATCAATATTCATCTTATTATCACAATGAAAGGTCATACACTTAAAACGTTGGATGCAGATTCTCGATCGTATACGTACAAACGCCCATCCGACCCGGCACTGACGATTTCACTTCCATCAAAATTGAAACGCAACGAGAAAAATGCGAATCTGATATAATCATTCCCCATTATTATTGTTATTCACTCATCCGGCACAAATTAATAGAAAAAATAAAAACGCATTATTAAGATTTTAAAAAATAGAGATAAAAACGCATGATTCACAGAAAAAAATTCTCTTTGAAGAACGCACAGAGCGAAAATCTGACAGAGGGGATACCAAATTCAGATGCCTACAAACGGTAGCCGCACGAGAAGTGAAAAAGTATCAGAGAAACATTAGTCAGTAATATTACGAGCAGTGGGAATTCTCCATTTCATTACGAGCATATGCATTATTTGTTCTACCACCGCATTTTCGTATAATTTCGCAAATAACGAGTGAAATGTAAATTAAAGATTTTTAAATTCCTCTACCTTCCGTAAGTATCTCCTGGATTTTGAATCAACGTACTCCAACGTTCATCTTCGCCCGAATCTCCACCCAATTTGCACTGATATACTAAAAGCACATCACCATTAGTTTCAATCAGACAATTTCGGATTGACAAATATCTTTCCTTCTTATGATACGAACTGATAACAGTATGATTTCAAATCGTGCATCAATACAATGCAAGTTCTGTTCTTTCTTATTACACAATACAAAGATTCACATCGATTCTGTCCATTTCTAAAGAGAACAAATTCACAGAATGTACAAATTGAGTCAATTTGAATAGAATACCATTGCTCAATTTGTTTGNCTTGTAGCGCTGTCGATATCCTTTTCGTTCGTACAATCTTATCATTTCATCTGCAATTCAATCACCTTTCTCACTTCTATACACAATCCATTATTGCAACCTGATTGCTCCCGTTTCCATTGGCATGAGAACAGTAGTAACTGCCGTGATTCGCCCCTTTCTGTCCAGGTTTCAACTAGTGATTAAGCTGAACACCAGGCTTGGTTATATTTCAGATGATGCTTAGGCTTAGCCTTACACGCTTGACGAGAAAGCCTCGTCACCGGTCAAAACATCTCGAATTTCTTGATTGGTGATATAAGGCGAACAAATTATTTTAGGTGTACCTTGACTGGCCGTTAGAAGACCATTACCATCAGGTAGATATTGACAACAAAACGTTTTTGTGCGAATCTTTTCGACAACTTTTTTCCGATTCGGAAAGAATCTGAAATGAACGTTTGAGGTGATGACGAAAGGAAGTTTAACTGAACAGGAACCATTGCAGTGAAAAGATATTGATGAAACAATAAATAAAACGTAGAAACGAATCAACTGTTGAAGACAATTATGGAAAAGTGAATGCTCACATGCAGGAAATACTTCGAAATCCCAATAAATTCCGTATGAAATCAATTTATCAACTCATCTGCATTATATTTATGTATTTAAATGATCTATTCATCAAACAAACTGAACAAGAAATACTTTAATTAATCCAAATAAAACTTGCGATAAATCAGATTATAGGAAAAAAAACCTGAATAAAACTAACGAATTCAAAGTGCTAGCACACTGAAATGGATAGAGCGCAGAACGAGTTGGATGCCTTGAATAGAGGTGACTACGACAGCCCTTTTTCGGCTGACATTTTCCCGCATAGCGCAGGCCAATTTCTCGGTTCGATACTAATCTTTCAATACTGACTGGTTCCGAATATGCACCACTATGTAATTCGATCTCATTTAATAGATGATTGCGACTCTGCAATAATCAACAAGTATTCCACATTTAACATCACTTATCACGTCTGCGGCCAAAATAAAATGGCAGAAATTCTCTGCTATCTAAAATTCACCGTCTCTCTAAAATGCAATCTGAAAATCCGATGAATGCCCCTCGTTGATCTAACAATAAGACTGAACAACATTTATTTGGAGCAGACAAAATTGTTTTCAGTATGTAAATTTAGAAATGAATTTGTAAATGAATTCAAGATAAACTCAAAGCATTACTTGAATGAGATGTTTGTCAATATTTTTTTGTTGGGCTGCAGTGCACACACCAGACGTACGTGCAGATGAAGTACCATTGGCNAGTATTCACTATCATGAGAACTGTTATTGTTGAATTGATTGCTGATTGACGATGTCTGTGATTCGAATATATTTCTGCCACGAATACCAGTCGAGTATTCACCGTCATCACTTTCGTTATCATTTTCCGAATCAATCGCAATTTCACGCACCTCATTCGTTCGACTCATTGTCACTAGACGAATCTGTAATTTACAAACATTTATTACCACATTGAAAATGACAACAACAGAAAAAGCAATTATGAATAAAATAAATAATAATGAAGACAATAATGATAATAGCAGTAAATAGCAGTAATGAAAAAAGGCATCATAAGACAAAAAGTATCATAATAAGATGATATTGAACTAAATACAAGAAGATCGACAATCACAACAACAAATGTAACTATGACTAAGGGTTGTGCATGTTGTCGTTATTGTCAATCTTGAATTCAGTTCACTATCGTGTGCGTATCGTTCGAATGAAATGAATAATCAAAAGGTACCCGTCCTTGGTTGAGTAGTTCACGAAGGAGATCACTGATTGAAGCGAAATTTCGAACTGAATTTTGACTCAGGTTAGAACTTGATTGTGATGATAACCGAGATTCGGACTGATTATTATTTCGATAAATCCGCTCGGCTCGTGCTTCCTGCTCTTCTTCTCGTTGTCGCACCACAATCTCAGCAGCCCAACTCAGTAACTGATCTGGCTGATTTCTCGTCTGATCCGTTGATTCGTCTTCATGTGAAAATGATATTCCCATTCACAATTCGCTTTTTGCTGATCACCTCAAAAGCGTTACACATGTTTACATTAATATTTGCAACTTTGTTTCAGAGTCATAAGATCGGAGGGAGCTTTTCAACATCAAAAAAAATCAAGATCGCGTAACTCGGAACAACATCTCGCTCAGAAATCTTTACACAATCCAACAATTCAGCTATCATCTGGAACTGTCTTTTGATTGACAGCGAATGATTGGTAGAATGTAATTATGGGCATATTTACATCTACTCAAAATGTGATAAGGAACTGTGGGAAGCCGTGGCAAACTGCAAAAATCATTCAGAAAATCAGGTCTACTCTCAGCCTGATTATGAGAGTGAAACTGAATCTGAACCGCAAACGTATTTCTGTGTCTAAGTTCCACCGCAAAGCATAACGACGATAAATTGCATTCGAGTGATTGTTGCACAGTTTCAACGTGTGCCCTATGACTCTCAGCTGTCTCGCCAAAAAATTTCAACATAGCGAAGGGTCTACAACAGTTTGCTGGATGTTATCGATGACCGACAAATATGTCCGCAACAACTCTAAATTCTGACAAAAATGATGAGGCACATGCAAATTGTCAGACTGATGGCAGCTTATCGCTGTCGAAATTGTCGTAGACCAGTCGATGTCATTGCGATCCTGATGCTGCCTTGTGGCGAATCGTCTGAAATTAGCATGGCTCGGAGCCCCGGCACTAGCGTTTTTTCTCAAGGGTGTGGTTCGATATGTGATGTTGTTTTTTGTCAGGATGTGTATTTGGAGATGTTGAGGGCTTTGATGTTGATAAATAGAGGTAATCTTTCGTTGATAACACCGTGTTTGTTCAGCAATTTCATTTGCTTGCTGCAATGTACTTCTCGGTTTCTTTGTCTTTTGGTTTATGAAGCGAGTCGTTTTGGACTGTATTATTGGTGATGTGTAAGCGTTTTTTAACATCCCTTCGAGCACATTCACAAGTATTTTCAAACAATCGCGTTACAGGCACTGAACTGTGTTGGCGTTAATAGGATTCGAACATCATGAATGCACGCACACTCAAACACACACACACACACACTTTATTGAGCACATATTTTGTGTACATTCCATAGCTTTCGCTGTTATTATTATGGTCACATGAAAACGTTGTGTTATGGTTTTATTATTATT